ATATCAGAGCTGGAAGGGGCCGTGGAGGTCTTCTAGTCCATCCCCCCTGCTCAGGCAGGAGACCCTTACAGAATCATGGAATAACAGAGCTGGTAGGGACCTTGGAGGTCTTCTAGTCCATCCCCCCTGCTCAGGCAGGAGACCTATGTCATTTCAATCAATCAATCAACCAACCAACCAACCAATCAATCAATCAATCAGAATAGAGCTGGAAGGGACCTTGGAGGTCTTCTAGTCCATCCTCCCTGCTCAGGCAGAAGACCTATGCCATTTCAATCAAACAAACAATCAACCAATCAATCAGAATAGAGCTGGAAGGGACCTTGGAGGTCTTCTAGTCCAACCCCCTGCTCAAGCAGGAGACCCTATCCCATTTCATATCAATCTCTTCTTAAAAACGTCCAGTGATGAAGCACCCACCACGTCTGGTGGCAAGCCGTTCCACTGGTTAAATTGTCCTCCCTGTTAGGAAGTTTCTCCTTAGTTCCAGGTTGCTTCTCTCCTTGATTAGTTCATCCAAACATAGGGACCAACACACACACACACACACACACACACGGATCACTATGCCTGCGGGCAACCTAAGGAGACAGTTGTCCCCCACCCTTCAGACGGTCCCGACTCGCCATAGACGGCCACGTTAAAGGGCCACCGATGGCTCCTCGTGTGTTGGAGACCCCTGAATTTAAGCCACGCTCTCCTCTTTAGCAACCGGTTCGACCCGGCTCTCCCCTGCCGCCCCCCAGTGTACGTCCCCTCCCCTAAACAACATCCAAAGGCCCCCCCCCCATCCCTGAAGCTTTCCTTCCTTGCATTTGGGATGAAAACGAATGAATTTAGGCCAAGCCTTCGGGAGATTAATTCATCCTGCCTGTCCAGATTGCAGCCGGCCTTCCAGGGGCAGCTTTTAATCTCTCCGTTTAAGCCTCTCTCTCTATCCAGGGTTGGGAACGTGACGGAGGGCGACGTATGAATTTCCCCCGGCCTGGTTTTGGTCCTCAGAAACAATGGCCCTCAGATCCCAGGTTGACGGATTTACACAGTGGAGGACAAATCCGGATTATCGGCTGGACCGTTTGGGTTTCGCCCAGCCCGTTGGCTGTGTACCTTCGGATTGGGAGCGGACACAGCTGTCAGACACATGTGTGAATCAATGGGGGGGGGTTCACACTTTCCCTCTGGGGCTGTGTTTCTCAGCCTTGGCAAGTTGAAGAAGGGTGGACTTAATAATAGTCTCTTCTTAAAAAAGTGTTGGAGAAGGGAGGGGGGAGGGGGGTAGAAAGGAAGGAAGGAAGGAAAAATAACAGAATAATAAGAGTTGGAAGGGACCTTGGAGGTCATCTAGTCCAACCCCCTGCTCAGGCAGGAAACCCTACATCATTTCAGACAAATGGCTGTCCAATCTCTTCTTAAAAACCTCCAGTGTTGGAGCATTCACAGCTTCTGGAGGCAAGGAGTTCCACTGGTTAATTGTTCTCACTGTCAGGAAGTTTCTCCTTAGTTCTAGGCTGCTTCTCTCCTTGATGAGTTTCCATCCGTTGCTTCTTGTCCTGCCTTCAGGCGCCTTGGAGAATAGCTTGACTCCCTCTTCTTTGGGGCAACCCCTGAGATACTGGAAGACGGCTATCATGTCCCCCCTCGTCCTTCTCTTCCTTAAACTGGACAGACCCAATTCCAGCAGCCTTTCCTTATATGCTTTAGCCTCCAGTCTCCTGATCATCTTTGTTGCTCTTCTCTGCACTCTTTCCAGAGTCTCAGCATCTTTTTTACATCGTGTGACCAAAACTGGATGCAGTATTCCAAGTGTGGCCTTACCAAGGCCTTGTAAAGTGGTATTAACACTTCACGTGATCTTGATTCTATCCCTCTGTTAATGCAGCCCAGCACTGTGTTGGCCTTTTTTGGCAGCTGCAGCTTCAATTTCTAGAATTCCCCAGCCAGCCTGCTTTAAGATGGGTAGACTTCAACTCCCAGAATTCCCCAGCCAGCATGCTTTAAAGTGGATGGACTTCAACTCCCAGAATTCCCCAGCCAGCATGTTTTAAGACGGGTGGACTTCAACTCCTAGAATTCCCCCTACCAACAACTCAGCAGTGGGCCTTTCCACGTTTCTATTCCCTACGGGTCGTCCATTCATTAAGCGACTGTTCAAAGTCACAAGGACACCGAGAAAGGTGACTTACAACCGATCCTCGCTCTTATGACCGTTGCAACACCCCCCTCCTGTGATCAAAATTCGGGCCCTTTGGCAAACGGCACGTATTTACGACAGTTGCAGCCTCCCCGGGGTCACGTGATCGCCATTTGCGACGCTCCCACCTGGAATTCCGACCAGCGAACCCAATGGGGGGGTGGGTGGAGGGAAAGTCAGTTTCGCTTAACGACTGCCCGATTCGCTTAACGACTGCCCGATTCGCTTAACGACCGCAGAGGTTTGCTGAATGACTTTGGCAAAAAAAAGGTGCTAAAATTCACTTTGCAACTCCTTGCTTAGCCATGGAGATTCTGGCCCCAATCCTCCTCCCGACGTGGGCAGGACCCCCGGAAGGCCCCCGGAGCAGAACAGCCCCCCATGGGGCAAAAATACCCCCAAGTCACCCCAACTTCCCAAGGCTTCAGATTCTCATCTGCATCCTTCTCTCTTTCCAAACTTGTAGACTTTTTTTTTTTTTTTTGTCAAGGATGCAAGCTGGTGTTTTTGCAAATGGAAATCCTTTTTTTTTTTTTTTTTTACCCCAGAACAAAATAGCATCTTTGTTTGAAAGGAAACTTGGTTTTGGCTGATGGAGCGTTTTGCTTCAGAGAATGTCGGATTGTCACTGGCGCGTCCTGGATGAATTTGAACCGTGCCCCGTCCTGCTTTTATTTTATTTTTTTAAAATGCCTTTTGGATTCTTGCTGGTGCTAAATTCACAAGGTCTTCCGATTAGTTGTGCGGTTGTCCTTAACTTATTTCTCGTAAGTTTCTTTTCTCTTGCAACTACTGAACGGTTTTCTAATCCAGCCCTCCTCTGCTTACTTCTGTCTTAATTTCCTTCCGAGTTTCGCACACCACGCTGCAGTTTTTCTAATTGTATATTCAGGCAGAACTCTCGGAGGTTAACCAAATAATGGCGCCCGTTTATTTTAATATGGGCCTGCCGCTCCATCCGATGGGAAATGTGATTGTCCAAATTAATAGTTTCCAGGTGAACGCTGAGTTTTCCAAGGCTTGTTTTGCCTTATCAAAATATATTACTTGTTTAATCCTTTCCTTGTTTCTCTTCAGATTTCCCCTTTCCCCGTTTTTAATTTTAGATCTGAGTCCCTCTAAGCCAGGGGTCCCCAATCTTTTGGGCAGCAGGGACCGGTTCCGTCGAGAGAGGTTTTTTCCGTGGACTGGAGGGAGCGTGGTTTTGTGTGCTGCCTGCATCCCGCAGATGGGGCTTTGCTTGTTTGTGCGGCTCGGTTTCTGCCACGGACCGTTGCCGGTCCACGGACTAGGGGTTGGGAACCGCTGCCCTAAGTGTAGCTTTTCATTGGGAAATGTGGTCAGCATTACAAATAAATACCTACAATCTTCTTCTTTTTTAAATGAGCATGTCATTCTTTTAGTTGAAAGAAAGAAAGAAAGAAAGAAAGAAAGAAAGAAAGAAAGAAAGAAAGAAAGAAAGAAAGAAAGAAGAGAGAAAGAAGACAGAAGAAAAAGAAAAAGTAAGGAAAGAAACAAAAAGGAAGAAAGGAAACAGAAAGAAAGAAAGAAAGAAAAAAGAAAAAAAGAGAAAGAAAGAGAAAAAAGAGTTAGATAGATAAATAGGAAGGAAGGAAAGAGAAAAAGAAAGAAAGGGAGGAAGAGAGATAAAGAAAAGGAAGAAAGAGAAAAAGGAAAAAGAAAGAAAGAAAAAGGAAGAAAGGAGAGAGAGAGAGAAAGAAAGAAACAAAGGAGCGAAAGAGATAGAAAGGAGCAAAAGAGAAAGAAAGAAAAAGGAAGGAAGGAAGGAAGGAGGGAAGGAAGGAAGGAGAGAGAGAGAAAAGAAGGAAGGAAGAAAGAAAGAAAGAAAGAAAAAGGAAGAAAGGAGAAAGAAAGAAAGAAAGAAAAGAAAGAAAAAGAAAGAAAGAAAGGAAAGAGAGGAAGAAAGATAGGAAGGAAGAAAGAAAGAAAAAGAAAGAAAGAAAGGAAGGAAGGAGGAAGAGAGAGAGAAAGAAAAGAAGGAAGGGAGAAAAAGAAAGGAAAGAAAGAAAGAATAAGGAAGAAAGAGAGAGAGAAAGAAAGAAAGAAAGGAGAAAAAGAGATAGGAAGGAAGAAAGTAACGAAAGAGAAAAAAAGAAAGAAAGACAGAAAGCCACCCATCAGCAGAAGGAATGGACTAATTAAAACAACCTTAGAAAACTTGAAACAGCTCAAATCAGCCCGACTGCCTCTACAACCTGCAAAATACGAAGGCTGAAATCCGTTTCCGTTTCTGCTCGCTTAGGGATCCCTACTTTCGGAGGGTCAGCGGCAGCATCGGTGGCTCTTTCTCAACAAAACCAAAGGCTTTCCTCCCGTTTCTACCCATCGTGGCTTGTAAGAAACCCCGATGTAAAAAGTCACGGGAGGAACTCACCCCAGGCCCCCTCGATAGTAAATGAACGAACAGGAAGGTACAGGGGGAAAAAAGTTTGCTACGCCTCTTCTTCCTCGGATGGCTACCACGCTACCACGCTCCAGTATCCGTGGTCAGGTCCCTCTCGGAGCGAGGGAGACGGCAACGGAGCACAGGAGCCCAATCCACCAGGCTGTCCTTTTTGCAGAAGAAACCTCCTGCCCGAGAATTCGGCTGCTCGCTATTGCAACAGCCAATATCTTCTTTGGTGCTAAGACGGCGTTTCTCCACCTTCCAGCGGCGAAGGTGGAGAGGACAGGAAGACCAGGACCTTCTGTAAGCAAGGATGGATTGAAACCTTCGAATCGGTGCGTTTCCCAATATCAGATTTTTAGGAACACCTGTAATAAAAACCCCGCTGATCTACCAACGTACCTGTGTCTCATGCTGGTCTGGCTCCTCTTGGCTTCCTCCACCGTCATCCCGGCCTCCATAAGGTAGCTCTCCATCCGACGCTTCTCCAGGCAGCACCTGGTGGCCTCCACTCCCTGGGGAGAAAACACGGCCTCCCCGTCCGAGCCCAGAGGGAGCCCCTGCCTCTTGGGGCTTCGTCGCTGGACGCCGTCCCCCCCACGCGTCTTGCTCTTTTTGTTCAGGCCGTAGAGCTCCTCCAGGCTGTATTTGCCCCCTCCTCCAGTGGCCCCCCGGCCCTTGGGGGCCGGACCCCCCCGGGAAGAACTAGCAAACATGGGAGTGGGTGAGAGGTGGTGGGGTGTAAACCCTGCACCGTGGATGACAGCAGACTTAGATTCTGTTCTGCACAGAGTCCCTGTGCAGAACAGACAGAGAGTGGATTCTCTGGGCTGCCCCCCCAACCTGCAGGGTGTGTGTGTGTGTAGGGGGGGGACACGTGGGGGATTTGTAGGGCTAGCAGCTGTTGAGTGTGGTCTCTGTCCCAGAGTTTTCCACTGGGTCCTCGGTTTCCCCTCCCCTCGGATTGCAGCCTTCCGGTCGGTCGTTAGCCGCTGCCTAATCCCTTTTTCTTTTGGGGGTGATTAACTAATTTTCTCGGCGGTGTGTGTGTGTGTGTCCTTTTGCATGCAGTTTGGGAAGGTATGGTCAACACGGGTGAGATGACGCGATTGGAGCGCCCCGTTTTTTTAATGTGAAAGCGAGGAACGGTCCGTCCGGCCTTCTCTTGGCTGTTCACCCTGTTGACACAGGATTGTTGTGCTAGGTTTGCCGTATTGTGAAGTTGGCGGACGATACAACAGTAGTAGGCCTTATTCGTAACGACAATAGGGTGCTTACCACAAGGAGGTTGAGGGGTTGGTGAACTGGCGGTAAGGAGAACAGCCTAGTTTTAAACCCTGGAAAAACCAAAGGGATCGTTGTCGATTTCAGAAAAGGCAGGCACAGCCACACTTCTCTGTGCATTAATGATTCACCTGTGGAGATGGTTACCAGCATCAAATTCCTGGGTGTGCAGCTAACGAATAGGCTGGCTTGGTCACTCAACAGTGAGATCCTGGTGAAGCGGGCACAGCAGCGCCTGCATTTGCTGCGTCGCATGAGCAAAGCACATCTCGTGTCCTCACCACTCTCTACAGGGGGACGATCGAGAGCATCCCGTCATACAGCATCACAGTCTGGTTTGCAAGCCAGCCGTGTGCTGCAGCTGCCAAAAAAGCCAACACAGTGCTAGGCTGCATTAACAGAGGGAGAGAATCAAGATCACGCGAAGTATTAATACCACTTTACAAGGCCTTGGTAAGGCCACACTTGGAATCCTGCATCCAGTTTTGGTCACCACGATGTAAAAAAGATGTTGAGACTCTAGGAAGAGTGCAGAGAAGAGCAACAAAGATGATCAGGGGACCGGAGGCTAAAACACACAAGGAACGGTTGCTGGAATTGGGTATGTCTAGTTTAACGAAGAGAAGGACGAGGGGGGACATGATAGCAGTCTTCCAATATCTCAGGGGCTGCCCCAAAGAAGAGGGAGTCAAGCCATTCTCCAAAGCGCCTGAAGGCAGGACAAGAAGCAACAGGTGGAAACTGATCAAGGAGAGAAGCAACCTGGAACTAAGGAGAAACTTCCTGACAGTTAGAACAATTAACCAGTGGAACTACCTGCCTCCAGAAGCGGTGAACACGCCAACACTGGAAGTTTTTAAGAAGAGACTGGACAGCCATTTGTCCAAAATGGTACGTAGGGTTTCCTGCCTGAGCAGGGGGTTGGACTAGATGACCTCCAAGGTCCCTTCCAACTTTATCATCATCATCAATCATCATCATCATCATCATCATCATCATCATCATTATTATTATTATTATTATCCCTACTTCGGACAGGAAGGCGGTGCCGAGTGGTGAGGACGGCTGAAAAGATGATTGGCAGTTCCCTCCCTGCCACCCAGGACGTGGCACATAAGCGATGCTTGAGCAGGGTCCACAGGATTGTCTGGCACACGACACACCCTCTCCACGACCTGTTTCCCTTGTACCCTTCTGGGAGGGGAGGGGGGGCTCCGTGGTATCTGGAGCAGAACATGAACATTCAGTCAGTTTCGTTCCATACAGTGTTAACCTTGTGAACTCTCAAGCTTTCTCCCTCCGTTATGTCTTCAAGATGGGCAGTGATTAATATTTAGATGTTACTTATATGTAAGGATGTAGGTCTATACGTATGTTGTATATAGTATGTTTAAATGGGTGTTATGTATGGGTACGCTTTGAGAGCGAGCAACTAAATTTCATTTTTAATGTGTGCCGTTGTGCCCACAGTAAAAAAAATGACAATAAAGGTTATCTATCTATCTATCTATCTATCTATCTATCTATCTATCTATCTATCTATCTATCTATCTCTCTAGTATCTTAGTATATCTATATCTACCTAGTATATCTACCTATCAGTATATCTATATCTACCTAGTATATCAGTCTGTCTGTCTGTCTGTCTGTCTATCTCTCTCTCTCTCTCTCTACCTAGTATATCTATAATAATAATAATGATAAAGTTGGAAGGGACCTTGGAGGTCATCCAGTCCAACCTCCTGCGGATCATTAATAATAGTAATATTAATAATAGTAGTAGTAGTAATAACAACAAACAATAATAATAATAATAATAATAATAATAATAATAATAATAATAATAATAATAATAATAAAGTTGGAAGGGACCTTGGAGGTCATCTAGTCCAACCCGCTGCTCAGGCAGGAAACCCTATACCATTTCAGACAAATGGCTGTCCAGTCTCTTCTTAAAAACTTCCAGTGTTGGAGGATTCACCGCTTCTGGTGGCAGGTTGTTCCACTGGTTAATTGTTCTCCCTGTCAGGAAGTTTCTCCTTAGTTCTAGGTTGCTTCTCTCCTTGATGAGTTTCCATCCGTTGCTTCTTGTCCTGCCTTCAGGCGCTTTGGAGAATGGCTTGACTGCCTCTTCTTTGGGGCAGCCCCTGAGATACTGGAAGACTGCTATCCTGTCCCCGCTCGTCCTTCTCTTCGTTAAACTAGACATCCCCAATTCCAGCAACTGTTCTTTGTATGTTTTAGCCTCCAGTCCCCTAATCATCTTTGTTGCTCTTCTCTGTACTCTTTCCAGAGTCTCAGCATCTTTTTTACATCGTGGTGACTATCTATCTATCTGTCAATATTTCTATTTTCTTTTCCTGTTTCTGCACCAAATGAAATAAACAAGGGGAAGAACGGAAAATTAACACACGGCCATCCGGTTTCAAGTTGACCAGACAGATTTAACGACCGCTTCTTTTTTTAAATAATATTTTATTAATTTATTTATTATTTACTTATTATTACGACCCCTTCTCAAAGGTCCGGCCGCTGCAAACCCAAAAAGGGACAGTCCCCAATGGAGTCTAGCGAGAACGACGTGGTCCGAAGGAACCGAGATCCAATTAAAAAAAAAAAAATCAGAATATTCCGCTATAAATAAGAGCGACGGGGCAACATCCAGATCCAGTTCTTGGGAGACGGTTCCTGGTGAGAAGTATACCGGGGCTGGTCCAAACGCACAGCATCATGGGAAATCAGGCGGCTTGCAGCTTCCGGACCGTTCATGAGTCTTTGGTGGGGGGGAGGAGAGTGTCAAAAATAAAATAAAATTTAAAAAATAAAAATAAAGAGCTAGCCAGCACGAGCCGAGAAGAAAGGGAGAGCGCGGACGAAGCTGTCCAGCTTGTTGCGAAAAAGCTCGCTCTGGATGGTCTCGTTCAAGCTGCAGAGGGGGTTCTTGACCACGTACTCCACGTAAATCTAAGGAGAAACAGAGGTGGGGGGGGTTAAGTGGGGGGGTTCCTCCTCCCCGAGCCCACTCAGCGCCCCCCCACCCAGAGAAAGAGAGAGGAAACATGGAGCAGGGTCATGGCCTTCCAAGTGTCCAATCTGTCTTTTCGTTAGGCGGGCGCTTCAGGGTTAACAACCTTAATTAAGCAGAACCTTTTACCTTGCAGACGTTTCATCCCCTGACTAGGGAACGTCATCAGTTTGCTCTGTGGAAGGCAAATCCCGCCTCCTTGCAGCACTGATGTTGTTACCCACTACGGTAATGAGTTGTCTGCTGCAAGGAAGCTGCCAAGCTCAGAGATCACTATGGAGCCCATAGTCCTCCTCCACTCTGCAAACCCCACTCCCTTCTGGCACTGATGATGTTCCCTAGCTGGGTCATGAAACGTCTGCAAGGAAACCACCCAGCTCAGAGAGCACCAAGGACCCCCCCCCCCAGTCGTTGTTGTCCTCCTCCTCCTCCAAAACTCCCTTCACTGGATTCACTTAATGGCTAGGCCAGGGGTAGGCAACCTTGGCTCTTTTATGACTCGTGGACTTCAACTCCCAGAATTCCTGAGCCAGCATGGGGGAACTATGGCTTCCTTGATGACTCATGGATTTCAACTCCCAGAATTCCTGAGCCAGCATGGGGGAACTATGGCTTCCTTGATGACTCGTGGATTTCAACTCCCAGAATTCCTGAGCCAGCATGGGGGAACTATGGCTCCCTTGAGGGCTTCTGGACCAGAATTCCTGAGCCAGCCTGGCTCAGCTTGGAAACCTCTCCCTTTCCCCTCAGCATGGCTGGCTCAGGAATTCTGGGAGTTGAAGTCCAGAAGTCATCAACGGAGCCATAGTTCCCCAATGCTGGCTCAAGAATTCTGGGAGTTGAAGTGCAGAAGTCCTAGAGGGGACCATAGTTCCCCCATGCTGGCTGAGGAATTCTGGGAGTTGAAGTGCAGAAGTCCTAGAGGGGGCCATAGTTCCCTCATGCTGGCTCAGGAATTCTGGGAGTTGAAGTCCGCGAGTCATAAAAAGAGCCAAGGCTGCCTACCCCTGGGCTAGGTGATTCACTCAGCAATCTGCAGCGATCTGCTTAACGTCCGTGGCAAAAAAAAAAAAAAGGAAAAATTGGGCACGACTCATTTAACGACCAGCTTGCTTAGCAATGGAAGATCGTGGCCCCCGGGGTAAGCCGTAAGAGGACCGCTTGCACCGGGAGGGGGGGGGACGGCGCACAAACCCTCACATAGCTGTAGATCTGGTGCAGGACGTCCTGGATGTTGCCCACCCCCAGGTCGGTGTTCATGACCACCTTGAGCCCGCTGGGCGTCTCGTAGTAGTGCAGCTTGTACTTGCTGGTCTGGAAGGAGAGGAACCCGTCCTTCCTGCGGGGCGGACGTTAAGGGAAACGCCGCCTTCTTCGCTGGCCGCCCCGGAGGCGTCGCTCTTGCGAGTGCAGCTTCGGCTGCTAGGAAGAAACCCCCCCCAACGGGGTCCTCCCCTCCCCACCCCCTAAACTGCCCAGTGGGGGGAAAGGATACATGTCCAGGGGGCTCATTTTGCCCACGAAGGAGCGGATGGAGAAGAGCATCCCGTACATCAGCTTGAATTCCTGCCAGAGAGAAGGGAGGAGAGGCCGTTACGGAAGAACAGAGTTGGAAGGGGACCTCGGAGGTCATCTAGTCCAACCCCCTGCTCGAGCAGGAGACCCTACACCAGGGGTAGGCAACCTTGGCTCTTTTATGACTGGTGGACTTCAACTCCCAGAATTCCTCAGCCAGCATGGGGGAACTATGGCCCCCTTGATGACTTCCGGACTTCAACTCCCAGAATCCCTGAGCCAGCATGGCTCAGCATGGAAACCTCTCCCTTTCCCCTCAGCATGGCTGGCTCAGGAATTCTGGGAGTTGAAGTCCATAAAAGAGCCAAGGTTATCTATCCCTGCCCTATACAGAATCAGAGTTGGAAGGGACCTTGGAGGTCTTCTAGTCCAGCCCCCTGCTCAAGCAGGAGACTCTAGCCCAGGAGTAGGCAACCTTGGCTCTTTTATGACTGGTGGACTTCAACTCCCAGAATTCCTGAGCCAGCATGGCTCAGCATGAAAACCTCTCCCTTTCCCCCCAGCATGGCTGGCTCAGGAATTCTGGGAGTTGAAGTCCACTAGTCATAAAAGAGCCAAGGTTGCCTACCCCTCTCCTACACCTTCCGGACAAATGGCTGTCCAGTCTCTTAAAAACCTCTGTTGATGGAGCACTCACAAATTCTGGTGGCAAGTTGTTCCACCGATTACATTTACTCCTCGACTTACAATCTGTTGTTTGATGACCGTTCAACAGTACAGCGGCACTGCAAAAAAAGGGACTTGCGACTTTACGACCGCCGCAGCATCCTCATAGCCACGTGATCAAAACTCAGACTCTCGGCAACTGACTTGTCTTTGTGACTCGTCTTTAGCACAGCTGGCTGAGGAATTCTGGGAGTTGAAGTCCACGAGTCATAAAAAGAGCCGAGGTTGCCTACCCCTGTTCTAGGTGAAGTTCTAATTCTCCAATTCTAAGGCTAGGAAGGGACGAGAGGCTTCTGAGTTTACTCGTTCACGCTTCCTTTGGTCCCGCTCTGCGGCAAGTTTAGGCAAATTAAGACAATCCAACATTTGCGGCTCCACGATCCACAGCAGGGAATATCCTGCTGTTGTGTTCACCCAAGCTTTAAGGCTTCTTCCATCCCTGCTCGTCACAGCAGTTGGACAAAAACGGCTCCACGCTTCAGAGAGGCTGGCAGGGCCCAGAAATTCTTACAGGAGACGGTCAAGGTTAACCCTTCCCCGGCTGAGCACCATGGGGCAGCACTGCCTGGTCTCGTGCTCCTGAGAAGGGGAAACCTTGCTGCGTAGATATCGATCCTGAAGCAGGGTGGCAGGGCCCAGAATCGTGAACTGAAATTATGGGAGGGTAGATTCCACCCCAATGTGAGAAAAAAAAAGCGAGAAAGTTGGAGAGCAAGAGTCCCAGCTGGGAGGAGGAGTCAAGTGAGGACTTAGCCTGGACTCACTACATCAAGGGTCTTCCAACTTGGCCCTTGGATGACTGGTGGACTTCAACTCCCAGAATTCCTCAGCCAGGCACGCTGGCTGGGGAACTCTGGGAGTTGAAGTCCACAAGTCATCCAAGGGCCAAGTTGGAAGACCCCTGGCTTATATGGTCCATACTGGCTGAGGAATTCTGGGAGTTGAAGTCCACAAGTCATCAAAGGGCCAAGTTGGAAGACCCCTGGTTTATATGGTCCATGCTGGCTGAGGAATTCTGGGAGTTGAAGTCCATCAGTCATCAAAGGGCCAAGTTTGAAGACCCCTGGTTGTGGACTTCAACTCCCAGAATTCCTCAGCCAGGCACGCTGGCTGGGGAACTCTGGGAGTTGAAGTCCACAAGTCATCCAAGGGCCAAGTTGGAAGACCCCTGGCTTATATGGTCCATACTGGCTGAGGAATTCTGGGAGTTGAAGTCCACAAGTCACCAAAGGGCCACGTTGGAAGACCCCTGGCACTACATAAACGCAAGAGGGCTAGGTCTAAGCTCCCCTGAATGTCTTAAGAGCAGGGGTGTCTAACTTTGGCAACTTTTAAGACTTGTGGACTTCAGCTCCCAGAATTCCTCAGCCAGCTCTCAATTCTGGGAGTTGAAATCCACCTGTCTTAAAAGTTGCCAAGATTGGACGCCCACTTTAGAGCCTTATTTGGTCGTTCCCGTGCCAAAGCTGCCAGTCTGGGGGAGATTCCTGTACTATAGACAGAGAACAATAAAGTAGCCAGCTTGAACCTTGGATGTGTGGATCTGGCTGTTCGCCCCGGTCGCTTCCTCACAATCCAGAGACGTTCAAGGGCGACACCAATGATCCAGGAGCGACGGGTTCTTTCCCCTCCACTGGGTGTGACAAGCAGAGGTTGGCCAGCCATCCGTGGGATGTTTTGATTCGGATCCCTCAACTGGGCAGGATCTCCCGACTCTACTCTGCCCTCTGCACACAGGATAAAAAGCAGTGGCTAAAGTAGCCCTGATACCTGGCTAAAAGCAGAAGCACAGAGCTAAGCCGTCATTCCTCTTGCAGCCAGAACAGAAGCGCAACGCAGCCGCCGAAGCACATGTAAGCCTGGCCTTCAATCAGCTTAACGGGTTTTTTTTTAATCCATTAACGCTAAGCCCTGCTTCCTTGGAAGCCCACCAAATTTTTGAAAGATTCATATTGGGTGAGATTAGCAAGAGACGAGGCCACCCAATCAGGAAGACACATTTAAAGCCAGGTCAGACTGAAATGAGCATGTCGGCAAGCGTCGAAGCTTAAGCCAGCTTTGGGCACGTCACATTAAGTGCGGTTTATTTTGGGGGCTGTTTATTTTGATTTAGTTAGCAATTTTTTTAAAAACTGCCCGGCTACCTCACCGAACTTTGTTCCCAGGTGTCATGGAGCTGTAAATCCCATCATCCCACAGTCAGGGGCCATGATTGATGATTGTCCAAATTCTCCTTGGTTTGGAAGACAATTTTAATAGCGTTCCGCCGCAGGCCAGATCAGGTTCACCCCGTTGGCAATTTAGAACAGTACTAATTGGTTTTTCTGGAAAGCTTTCATGGATTAATGGAGTTGGGGGTTTATTTAATTCTACCACAATTTTGATAGTCCACCCACTGAGCCAGCCGTGTGTGGCAGCAGCCAAAAAATCCAACACACTGCTAGGCTGTATTAACAGAGGGATAGAATCAAGATCAGGTGAAGTGTTAATACCACTTTACAAGGCCTTAGTAAGGCCACACTTGGAGTACTGCATCCAGTTTTGGTCACCACAATGTAAAAAAGATGTTGAGACTCTGGAAAGAGTGCAGAGAAGAGCAACAAAGATGATTAGGGGACTGGAGGCTCAAACATACAAGGAACGGTTGCTGGAATTGGGGATGTCTAGTTTAATGAAGAGAAGGACGAGGGGGGGACAGGATAGCAGCCTTCCAGTATCTCAGGGGCTGCCCCAAAGAAGAGGGAGTCAAGCTATTTTCCAAGGCGCCTGAAGGCAGGACAAGAAGCAACGGATGGAAACTAACCAAGGAGAAAAGCAACCTGGAACTAAGGAGAAACTTCCTGACAGTGAGGACAATTAACCAGTGGAACTACCTGCCTCCAGAAGCGGTGGATGCTCCAACACTGGAAGTTTTGAAGAAGTGACTGGACAGCCATTTGTCTGAAATGGTACTATAGGGTTTCCTGCCTGAGCAGGGGGTTGGACTAGATGACCTCCACGGTCCTTTCCAATTATTATTATTATTATTATTATTATTATTATTATTATTATTATTATTATTATTATTATTATTATCCCCTTTCGCGACCTTCTGACGAGCAAATTCCACGGGAGAAGTCGGATTCGCTTAACGACGACCGTGTGACTAACTTCACAACTGCAGTCATTCACAACGATGGCAAGACAGGTCACAAAACGGGCGAAACGCACTTAGCCAACGTTGCGCTTAGCGACAGAAATCGTGGTCGTAAGCCGTGGACTCCCCGCATACTTATTTTATCTTGCCTTATCAGTTTTGTATATAGTTACTCTGCCGTAAGACGGGGGTGGGAATGGGGAGGAATAAATCAAGTTAAATGATTTTAATTACGAAATCAATAACCGGAAGACAGGCAGTCCTCGATTTGCAACCGTTCCCTTAGTGGCAACGGCTTAACAACGGTTTTTCACACTGAACGACCGTCGCAACGTTCCCCTCAAGTCACGGGATCCAAATTCGGACTTTTGGCCACCGACTTGCATTTATGACGGTTTTGCAGCGTCTCCTGGGGTCACGTGACACCCCCCGCCCCCATTTGCGACCTCCTGACGGGCAAAGCCGACGGGGCAAGCCGGATTCACTGAACGACGGCGCAACTCAATTATCCGCTGCAGCGATTCGCTTAACGACGGCGGCCAGAAAAGTCCGCTACGTTGAGCTCCATTGTGGTCGTAAGTCGAGGACTGCCTGCACTGGGCTCTCTCTCTGGGATTCATGATGATAATAATGGATATTACAAGGATAATTGGTTCGTTAATTATTATAATAATCTCCTCCTGTAAGGAAACCAGGTCAAGGAAAAGGTGGGGGGGTGTTCTGGGGGGAGGAGAGACCCGCCACCCGAGCCTGGACGACGAGGCCTCTGAGCGCGTGCAGAGGGCATGTCCCCCCCCTCCTCCGTGGGGGGGGGGAAATTGGGGCGGGGGGGCGCTGAGGCTCACCTCCTCCTTGGAAATCCCGGCCTGCTTCTTGCGGTTCCACTCGCTGTAGTGCAGGCAGGCGCCGTTGCGGTCGAAGAGGTAGAGATTGTGCACCGTCATCTTGGGGGGGGGAGAAAAGGGGGGGCAGGGGACCCCAAATCAGAGCCAGGCCGCGTTTGAAGCCCCCCTCAGCCGCCGCCACCACCACCACCACCACCGAGGGATATCACCACGCCGGTATTGAGGATAACGCCACCCATCATCCACCCCCCGCTCCGTTTTTTCCCGGGGGCGGGAAGGACCCCCCCAATATTTACCTCAGCCGCCGCTCCCGTCTCTATGACAACCGCTAGGCCCGACGTCCCTCGACTTCCGTCGCGGAGGGTGCGTGCCCGCGCCGCGCCGCCAACCCGGCTCGCGGATTGGTCCGTCCCGCTCGGCCCGCCCCTCTCCGCCGTCGCCGCCCTTCCTGCAGGCCCGTACGACTGGAAAGCCTTGCCCGGAAGGAAAATGGCGGCGCCGGCTTCACCCCGTTCCCGCTCCGAGGCCTTGCCCGGCGCTGCGCGGGGGCGGCGGAGCCGAACGGGAGCCCCGGCGAGGACCGGAGCGGCGGGGACGGCGGCCTAGAGAGCCTGGCGGGGCAGCAGAGTGGGTCTCAAAGCGAGGACGCTCAAGGGACGGGGAGGGGGCGCTGGGGGAGGGGGACGCGGTTTACCTCAGGGATGGGGCAGGAAACCCCCCCCTCCACAATCTGCAGCTCCCATTGGCCAACCGGAGAGCGTGGCCGAGCTCGCGGGGGGTGATGGGAGATGGAGTCCAAGGCGGTGGGTCAGCTGAGGAGGGCCAAGGGGTGCAAGAGGTGGGGGGGGTCTCCTGAGGGGAGCCATTTTGGAGCCCATGATGTGTGTGTGGGTGTGTGGGGGGGTCTTTTGCTGCTCCCCATTTCTCCTCAGGCCGCCTGGGATTTCCTGGTGGTCTCCCATCCTCTCTCTCTGAAGCTTGGCTTGCTGGTTTTGGTCCAGGCTGAGGAGGAACTGAAGAGGAAATAAAGAAGAGGAGGCCACCCAGGCCTGGCCGATTCCACGTTGGCCGAGGTCAAAATTAGCCACCCGGTGGGTCACTCTTTGGGATTCCCCCTGCGAATTTGATCAATTTTTGCTATACTACCAAGCACTACCAACCTTGGACAGCGACATGGGGAGGCCTATAAATTTAAATAATAATTATAATTATAATTAGCCATTGCCAGGTCTTGTTATTATCTGCTTTCCCAGTACATTAAAAAAATAGCTGGGAAATCAGATAATAACAAGACCTGGCAATGGCTAAGAGCAGGAAAATTGAAGAAAGAGACTGAGGAGAGACTAATTCTGGCTGCACGAGACCCAGCCTTAAGGACAAAAGCACACAAAGTCAAAATTGAGAAGACAGCGACAGACAGTAAGTGCCGCCTCTGCAAAGAAGCCGAAGAAACAGGGGACCACCTGGTAAGCTGCTGCAAGAAGATCGCACAGACTGACTACAAGCAGCGGCATGACAAAGTAGCAACAATGGTGCATTGGAAGATCTGCAAGAAGTATCATTTGCCTGAAAGCAAGAACCAGTGGGATCGTAAAATAGAGAAAGTCATAGAAAATGATAAAGTTAAACTGCTCTGGGACTTCAGAATTCAAACAGACAAGCACCTGCCACATAACACCCCGGACTTAACAATTGTCGATAAGAAAAACAAAAAAGTCTGGATAGTGGACGTGGCAGTGCCTGGAGACAGCAGAATAGACGCGAAAGAACTGGAGAAGATCACAAAATACAAAGACCTACAAATAGAAATAGAAAGACTGTGGCAAAAGCAAGCAAGGGTAGCACCAATAGTAATAGGCGCCTTGGGTGCAATCCCAAAACAACTGGAGCACCACTTGGACACCATCATCGGCATTGACAAATTCGCCATTAGTCAATTGCAAAAGGCGGCTTTCCTGGGAACTGCTTCCATCCTGCGACGAGATCTGTAATACCATCAAACATCCACATCTGCCTATCCCAGGTCCTTGGGAAGGACTCGACAGGCAGACTAAAATGCCAAATGCAGTCTGAACATCTGGCTGACTGTGCGATGATCCTCAATAATAATAATAATAATAATAATAATAATAATAATAATAATAATAATAATAATATAATATAATATAATATAATAATAATAATTTGAATGTTCAGTTTTCTGAGGTTCATATCTAATGAATAAAAGATAATAATAAATAGTAATAAACTGGAAAAGTCTGCAGAAGAGTAGACGTGGCAGTAACTGGAGACAGCGGGAGAGAGAAGAAGAGAAAGAACTGGAGAAGATCCACAAAATACCAAAGACCTGCAAATAGAACGACCGGGGCAAAAAGCGAGCCAAGGTAGCACCAGCAGTCCTTGGTGCCACCCCCAAAACATCTGGAGCACCTTTTTAAACACCTTTTCAACACTGACAAAAATCCCCAATTAGTCAATTACAAAAGGCAGCTTTACTTGGAGCAGTGAGAGGCCTTTTAAGATCATTTAAGAACATTCATCTCTGGCTATTCCAGGTCCTCGGGAAGGATTTAGTTAGTGGGCAGAGCTGCCAAATCCATCGGAACCTCTGGCTGACCGTGCGAACGAATCCTTTTAAAAACGTCCAGGGGAAGGTAGGACGTGTGACCCTGCCTTCTTCCTTTGTGCTCTGAATTTCAAGTTCTTTTCTTTTTATTATTATTCTTTTCCAGGACCGGCTTGGGAAGAGCCCTCTGTTTTCCTGGCATTTGGGGCTCCATGATGGCAGAAGTCCCAGCCTTCTGAGCTCAGAATGCTGGTGTTGGCCGCAGCCCTTTGCTTAGGACCCCGGGACCATGGCTGAGAAGAGCTTCGCCCGGGCTCTGAGCGCTTCCCTCCGCAGCGAAGATCTCCTAAGCGACGTGGAGCTGCTGCCGGCCTCGGACCCCCCCACCCCTGGGCAGCAGGTGCCTTCTTCTCAGCCGGCCACCCCATACAGCTCCAAAGTCACCACCCAGCTCTACGCCTCCCTTCGCCAGAGCCGGCAGGCCGAGGCTCTGGCTTTGTCTCGGCTGGAGGACCAGCAGGGCTCGGCCCTGGCTAGGAAAGCCATGGATGCCGACGTCGATCTGGACACGCTAGCGGAAGAGCTTAGCCACCGGCTTTCCGCCAGCGTGGAAGCCAGTGCATTTAGACAGGTGAGAGAGAGAGAGAGAGAGAGAAAGAGACACCCCCCCCAGGTTGGCAGGAAAGCTCGGTTGGCTGAGCCCCTCTTCTTTTGCAGGGTGCCGTGCCCGAATCCCGCCACATTTCCGAGATGGAGAACGTCCGGGGCCACCTCCAGAGTATGTTGCGAGGATCCAGAGATGGGCCTGGTGAGAGCGGGGAAGGGGGAAAATGGCCTGGATGGGATGTGAAAGGAAGGAATAAATCAAAGCCTCCAAGCCTGATGTCAACGCTGCAAATACTGTATATTCTTGCTTTGACAATGTGCAGAACTGTCTGGTATATATATAGTTAAACCAGCAACTGGGAAAGAGGGAGGAGCATAAGGATAGCCCGGGAGAAAGAAACCGGAAGTAAATCACATCTTCCAAGTTGATTGGAAGATGTGAACCATGACCCTACAATAAGGGAGTGGAAAATGCTAGGAATGTTATGCCTAACGGAAGAGAAGCAGACCTAAGCATTCCACCATGCTGTACTGACGTATTGTAACCTTAATAAATGCTTTTAGGAGAAAACATGCCTGAAAGTCCTTTTAAGTGTTTCATTACTCAGATACGTGACACTTGCTGTGTTTCGTCCCTACAGGGGCCTGAGAAGAGATACAGATTTATTTATTTTTTTATCATGTTTAGAAACCTGCCTATATTGTTTTTATAAATAGCTTAATACAGAATATTCCTTCCTCCTCCTAGTTTCCCCACCACAACCCTGTGAGGTGGGTTGGGCTGAGAGAGAGGACAATTGGCCCAAAGTCACCTGGTCAGCTTTTGTGCCTATGGCGGGACTAGAACTCACTGCCTCCAGGCGATTGGCTCCAAGTCACCCAGCCGACTTTTTTGCCTAAGGCGGGACTAGAACTCGCCGTCTCCTGGTGATTGGCCTAAAGTCACACAACAGGCTTTCGTGCCTAAGGCGGGACTAGAACTCACCGTCTCCTGGTGCTTGGCCCACAGTCACCCAGTTGCTTTTGTGCCTAAGGGGCAACTAGAACTCACCATCTCCTAGCGATTGGTCCAGAGTCACCCAGTGGCTTTCAGGCCTAAGGCAGACTAGAACTCCCTGTCTCCTGGTGATTGGCAGACTAGAACTCCCAGTCGCCCAGCTGCTTTCGTGCCTAAGGCGCAACTAGAACTCGCTGTCTCCTGGTGATTGACCCCAAGTCACCCAGCTGGCTTTCACACCTAAGGCAAGACTACAACTCCCGATTTCTAGCTGGGTGCCCTAACCGTTAGACTAAACCGGCTGTCTAATTTTCTAAGACAGTTTATTTCACAAAGTTTAGTGTCTTTGTATCTTGCAAGTTGGACCTGTAGGGGAAGTTGTCTGGTGGGAAAGACCAGGGCCACATGTGAAGGTCCAATTAGACTGATTTATTGCTGAAAGCCTCTGCACAGGAATCTTCTAACTAAACTGCTTTATCGCTGATGTTCTATGCACAGTAATCTTGTACCTAAACTGCTTTGTCGCTGAAAGCCTGTGCACAGGAATCTTCTACCTAAACTGCTTTATTGCTGAAATTCTATGCACAGGAATCTTCTAACTAAACTGCTTTATCACTGAAATTCTATGCACAGGAATCTTCTAATTAAACTGCTTTATCGCTGAAAGCCTGTGCAAAGGAATCTTCTACCTAAACTGCTTTATTGCTGAAATTCTATGCACAGGAATCTTCTACCTAAACTGCTTTATCGCTGAAAGCCTCTGCGCAGGAATCTTCTACCTAAACTGCTTTATCGCTGAAAGCCTCTGCACAGGAATCTTTTAACTAAACTGCTTTATCACTAAAATTCTATGCACAGGAATCTTCTACCTAAACTGCTTTATCGCTGAAAGCCTCTGCGCAGGAATCTTCTACCTAAACTGCTTTATCGCTGAAAGCCTCTGCACAGGAATCTTCTAACTAAACTGCTTTATCACTAAAATTCTATGCACAGGAATCTTCTACCTAAACTGCTTTATCACTGAAAGCCTCTGCACAGGAATCTTTTAACTAAACTAATTTATTGCTGAAAGCCTATGTGCAGGAATCTTCTCAACTAATGGTTGTGACATACTATGAGTTAGATAAAGGTCTGCACATTCAAGGGAGGTTGGACTTGCTTCACTTGTGATTATGTAGGGATTCTAGGCTGCTTCCTCTTTTGACTCCGCCCCCAGCTTCTGCCATTCCTTCTCCTACAGAAGTAGCCCCCAAAAGCCGTGCTTGCTTTCAGCCGCCCTTTTTCTGCTCTCTTCTCGCAGGGGGCCCGACGGCCACGCTGGAGTCCCTGGAACGCAAAGATGACGACTCCTTTGAAAGCGACAGCACGGGTGTTCTGCTCAAGTAAGACCACCTTAGCCGAGTCGGGGGGTCTCTTACTGCAGAGCATAAGGAAGGTGTCAACGCTGCTAACACCGGATGTTCTTGCTTTGAGAACATATGGAGATGCAGCCTTTTTCTTGCTTATGCTTTACTCTTAGAATTAGATGATACTGGGGTGGGGGGAGGAATGTGATGGGAGTTAGTTAGAGGTAACAATATTGCAATAGTGTCTGAACTCAGGGCTTTTGAAATAAGAGCTGATAAGGAATGGCAGGTTGGAGAACTGGAGGGAAAGCCTGCATTTCAAGCGAATTGGGGAAATGTGATTTATGACTGTTAATTAGAGGACGGAATTGTGCTTTGATACTGTGTGCTCAGGGGAGGGGAATCCAGATTTTGGCTTCGCTTATGTACGTGCCAATGCTATGCGGCTCGAATAAAGATTTGTTTAAGGAAAACGGTGCCTCAAAGTTCTTTGAAGAGTTTCCTCTGTCGTAACCATGACGTGAAACCAAAATCTGGATTCCCCTCCCCTGAGCACATAGTATCAAAGCACAATTCCCTCCTCTAATTAACGGTCATAAATCATATTCTCCAATTCGCTTGAAATGCAGGCTTTCCCTCCAGTTCTCCAGCCCGCCATTCCTTACCAGCTCTTATTTCAAAAGCCCTGAGTTCGCACACTATGGCAATATTGTCATGTCTAACTAACTCCCATGCACATTCCTCCTCCTCCCCCCCCCCCAGTATCATCTAACTCTAAGAGTAAAGCATAAGGAAGAAAAAAGCTGCATCTCCATATGTTGTCCAAGCAAGAACATCCGGTGTTAGCAGCGTTGACAGAAGGGAGCTTTGAGGCAGACAGGCAGGAAGAGTTCCC